CTCAGTAAGGGTGCCCTGAACCCGGGAGGTCAAGATTGCAGTGAGCCAAGATCGCCCCACTGCACTCCAGCCTGGGAGACAGAGTGAAACCATGTCTCAAAAACAAACAAACAAACAAACAACAACAAAAAACCCCAGTAAGGATTATAGAGATTCAGGGAAGGGAAGAGGTCATTTTGGACTGGAGAAATCCTAGAAAGCTTCCTGGAGAAGGCAGCAGCTCTTGGCCTCAACCCTAAAAAATGGACTGGGGAAAACAGCAGGAATAAAGACAGGGAGGAAGGAAGGAGCATGGCAAGGTCCCCTCCTCGGGGATACCCTCCTATTAGAAGACTGTAGTGAAGTGGGGTGGGTTGACTATGGAAGTAGCAGGGTTGAAGAATTGAGAGTTAGCCAGAGGATATCTGACATGATGGGGGAGACAATGGGGAGCCATTGGAGGTTCTACAGCAGGGTGTGATCATGATTAAAGCAGAGCTTAGTCCTTGCACGACTAGTAAGCAGGCAAAGGAAGAGGAACAGGATATGGAACAGACAGAAGACATCAGCTTCCTTCCCAGCTCCAGCAGGAATTCTCACTTCAGCCTCAGGGACCAAGGAAATGTCTCATTTTCCCCCCATTCACTTATTTTCAATTTCTTTCATTTTGTGACATTCAGAGTCTCTTAAATCCTGGGGGAGGGAAAGCCTGGGGAGTGGGTAATCTGGGGTAGGCTCACTTAGTAATTGCAGTCTGACTGACAAGAGTGGGCAAGGAGAAGGAAGTTAAGTGGTGGCGGGGGGGGGGGGGGGGGGGGGGGGGGGGGGGGGATGGGGGGGCGGGGAAGAAGCCCTCCAGGTGCGGCACACAGCCACACAGCCTACGGGAAGGGCAGGTGCAGCCTGGGGTCTGGTGGCAGCTCCCTGCAGAGCACAGAAGCCCTTCTGGCCCCGCCCCACCCTCCAGCCACATTTCCTAGCTGCTCCCTGCCCACACCCACTGTCCACCACCACAGCAAACTTCCATTCCTGAAAAGCCCATGTGTCTTGTGTCGCGGCAGTGGGGTGGGGTTCATGCTTGCTGTGTTCCTCCCTCTGAAATGCCTTCCCCAACCTTTCCCTAAATTCCAGTTCAACTGTCAAAAGCCAAAAGCCACCTCCTGCTGATGAGTAGATGACCCCAAGCAGCATTTGTCTATGCCCAGTTCAGGGCACAGCTCCTTCTGTAGGTGCTATGAGCCCTCACCCTATCATGGGGTAACTAGGAATCCTCTATGCCTCTTCCGTGGCCCTCAGCTGTGGAGGCTTCTGGGAATCAGCTCAGTAAGGGTACCCTGAATGAAGTGTTGTTTGAGTTGCATCTGGAGGTTAGGAAGTGCTGGCTGGCCCTTCAAGTGATGTTGCCCAGGGAACAGCTAGGGCTGGGTCCTGAAGGCTGGGTGGTTTGTCAGGAGGCGAGGTGCCTTTCTTGGGAGGGGGTGGGTGGTTGGTTCTAGGAGGGTGGGTAAGTGGTTAGTGGATCAACACTGACAGAGCGTGAGGGGTGGAGATCTGGGGATGCAGTTTACCGACATGGCCACCTGAGATCAGCTGAAGGTGGTAAGCAGGAACCTGCAGGGGCCTCAGGAAGGCCTAGGGAGGCAGTTTCAGAAGAAAGGCTCAAATATCAGACAGCTAAGATGAGACTGAGAAAAGAGGAGAAATGTCTGTCCTGTTGTTACACCCCACAGAAAACAGGACTGATAGCCCAGGAGCGGTGGTTCACTCTTATAATCCCAGCACTTTGGGAGGCCGAGGAGGGCTGATCACCTAAGGTCAGGAGTTCAAGACCAGCCTGGCCAACATGGTGAAAACCCTGTCTCTACTAAAAATACAAAAAGCCAGATGTGGTGGCGGGTACCTGTAATCCCAGCTAGTCAGGAGACTGAGGCAGGAGAATGGCTTGAACCCAGGAGGCGGAGGCTGCAGTGAGCCCAGAAGGCGCCACTGCACTCCAGCCTGGGCAACAAATGCGAAACAGGCCTGATAGCAACAGTTACTGCTCTTTAGTCTGAGGGGGACTTGGGAATCTTGAAAGCTTCCTGTGTTTTCCCAACATTCTTCATTCCTGCATCTAGCCCTTACTTAGCCCCAGGCATAGCCCAGGAGGAGACTGTGTGACATTCAGGGGCTGGACCCCACATGGGAATAGGAAGCTTAAATTCAAATTCCATTCTGGCTCTGCTCCCAATTCTCCATGTGAGCTTGTGGCCAGTTATAAAACTTGATAGCCCCAAATTCCCCAGTCTGAAAATGACATAATTATTTCTAAAACTTGTACTGGAATTGGTCGATTCTTTAATTATGGCATATGAATAAGAAATAATGTTATTAGCAAATACACACACACACACACACACACACACACACACACATATATATATATATATATATTTTTTTTTTTAGACAGAGTCTCGCTTGGTCTCCAGGCTGGAGTGCAGTGGCTCAATCTTGGCTCCCTCAACCTCCACCTCCCAGGTTCGAGAGATTCTCCTGCCTCAGCCTCCCAAGTAGCTGGGATTACAGGTGCCCGCCACCACACCGGGCTAATTTGTGTATTTGTAGTAGAGATGGGGTTTCGCCATGTTGGCCAGGCTGGTCTCCAACTCCTGACCTCAGGTGATTCACCTGCTTTGCCCTCTCGAAGTGCTGGGGTTACAGGTGTGAGCTACCATGCCCAGCCCAAAAAAAGTCTTTTTAAATTTTAGTGGAAGACCTAAAACAGAAAATGTATCTATGATCTAATTTTTCCTGGGAGTTGAGGAAAGAACCCTTTTTTCACTAAGGGCAGGTGAAACTCTTTTTTTAACTGAGGGCAGGCCTCCATACTGCTTCTTCAAGGGAGCATAGCTAGAGAATTACGGAATTTCTGAAAGTTCTTCCAGGTCTAAAAGTCACGTCTAAGCTTCTTGCCCCAGGGCTAAGTGAGAACAGAAACACTTTATTCACAGAACCAAGAACTAAATGCAAAGCCCCTGTCTCCAGGTTGTAGGGGACCCAGGAGGCTGCAACTGACTTAGAGAGAACAACCCAGTTCCTGAATTTCCACCGCAAAGACACGTCCAAGCACGGAGGTAAGTGGCTCTCCTCCCAGACCTCAAATAGGCTGCCCTTTCTCCGGGTTCTTCCGGGAAAGTAATTTCTGCCTTCCTGGATCCCAGAGGAAATGAAAACAATCAAGTAGCCAGAACTTCCGTCCTGTTCTACACTTTCTCTCTCTCTCTCTTTTTTTTTTTCTTTGAGAAGGCGTCTCACTCTGTCACCCAGGCTGGAGTGTAATGACACGATCTCAGCTCACTACCACTTCCACCTCCAAGGTTCAAGCAATTCTCCTGCCTCAGCCTCTTAAGCAGCTGGGATTACAGGCACCCACTACCACGCTCAGTTCATTTTTTGTATTTTTAGTGGAGATGGGTTTTCACCATGCTGGCCAGGCTGGTCTCGAACTCCTGACCTTGTGCTCCGCCCACCTTGACCTCTGAAAGTGCTGGGATTACATGTGTGAGCCACCATGCCCGGCCTCTGTTTTGCACTTTCTCTAGAGAAAGCTCACACAAAGGCAAATGGATGAATGGGGCCGCCTTCCTCCGGAGGCCCAGGGTAAAGACAAAAGGAGAGCCGAGTTCACGTGAAGTGCCCCACGTGGTGGCAGTTTCCTCTCTTTTCCTGTGCAGCTAGGTCACCACACACCTCTCTTTGTACCCCCTTTTCTCTACTAATCAAACATACAAGACAGCTCAAAAATGGTGCATGGCGAGTTGACTTCCCTCCTTGGTCTCTTGGCCTCCATTTTCTCACCTGTCTGTCTGCATGGCCAAAGCCCTCCATGGGCTGCTCCCACCTCCCTGAGCCCCACAGAAGCTTCTCTGAGCCATGGGCTTGTCTCAGTGAACTCAGCTTTCCCTAGGGCTGGGCGGCCAGGAAAACCCCTCGCTTCCCTAGACACCGCTCTGTCCTGCCTTCTCCCTCTGTCCCCGCTGCCTGCCACTCCTCCTCTCCACGTGGCCCAGAAATGTCAGGGTTTCAATGGACACGGTTCTGAGACTTTGTCGCTCCTCCCTCTCCGCTTGCTGAGCCCTGAAGGTCCCCAGATTTAAATGCCAGGGTCCTGTTCTCAACTCCCACCTTCACAGCCCGTACTTCCCTAAGATCCAGACTCCAGGCGCCTGGCAGCTCTACGGAACCCTGGATTCCCACCTCCTCTGGCTCTTCCCATCTGAGCAAATGACACAACCATCACTAGGCGTTCAGGCCAGAGCCCTGGTAGTTCTCCTGGAGTCCATCAGCAAGTCCTAGTGATTCCAGCTCCAAAATGCACCCCAAGGCTCTCCTCTGTCTTCATTGCTGCCTCTCAAATCCACATCAAATCCTTCCTGTGCACAGGAACCATCTACGGCTGCCCAGTATTTTCAGAAGGAAGCCAGCTTTTGGGCAGACCCTGCAGGGCCCTGATGCGTGGAGCCCCGCTACCTCTCCAGCTGCATCTGGCCCTTTCTCCGTTGCCATTTCACCCCTGCCATACAGTTTGCCAAACAAGTGAAGGCCTTGCTGGTGCTGCTTCCTCTGCCTAGAATACTCTCCCAAACCCCACCCCTCACAGAGCTGGCTCTTCAATTCCTTTAGATCTTAACCGAATTGCCACCTCCTCCAAGAAGCCTGTCTTGACCACCCTAAAGCAGGCCTCTGCTATCTTCTATTTCAGCCCCTTGTTTCTTCTTGTGTTCTGCCCACCTCCCCCATCGGAATGTCAACTCCATGAGGGCAGGGTCCATATACGGCCAGGGCCTAGTTCACAGCTGGGTATGCAGTAAGTGTTCAATAAGCATTTGCTGAAGGAGCAGATGAGTCAGTCATCACTGCCTAGGGATTAAGCAGCTCCCTGTAAATTCTAAGGGTTAGCCTGAAGGGGAAACTGAGGCCCATCACTTCTGGTTGTCCAGTTCTGCGGGACAGGTTGGGACTCAGGTCAGAAGGCACCTCACCTCCCTTTTCCAGCGTGCCAGCCACTCATCCCGCTTGCGCTTGCTGATGTAGTACGGATCCCCCGCCTGGAAGGTGAGCCGTGGCATGGGCCGCTGACGGAGGCTGGACTCCCAGCCCAAGCCACCCCGCAGCCGGCCCCGGGAGCCCTAGGACAGAGAGACAGACAGGTATTAGGGCCTCAGGGTGGGCACTGAAGACCCACTGAGGAGGCACTCACGTCAGACACAACGTGGATGCTGGCTCCTGGCCAGAAAGGGCACCCCTGGGAGTGCTGGGCAGGCCCTGTGTGGGCTGGAGGAGTGAGGGATATGCATGGTGGGGTGGGGGCACATGGACACAACCACAGGCCGAGAGGGGAGGTGCCTGGCCTCTGGAGGGGGATGAGCCAGCTGCCTTGTTGGGGGACTTCCAACCACCACACCCACTTCCTCTCCTTCCCACAGAGGGATGTGTAAAGAAGGGGGTGGGGCCCACCCTCCGCCCCCTCACACACACTCGCCACCAGTGGCCTTCTTCTAGAATCAGGAGCCACAGAGCCCCTGGGGGGTGGAACACTTGCCTCCATTTTCATGGTTTCGATGTTGGTCTCCTTCTGTTCTTTGCCTGCGGAGAGGGAAGAACAAAAGGACCGGTCGTCGGTCACAGAGTTACTGGAGTGGCTCAGAGACCCCACCTTGTGCCTGGGGTCCCTGTCACAGGGGACAGGGTCCTCCAGCCATTTAGCTGTTCATGTGTCAACCACGATGGCCTACCTTCAGGGACATGGCTGACCCTGAGGACCGAGCGGGGCCTAGGGCAGAGAAAGAACTCGGGCAGGGGCAGGCCTTGAGGCCCAGGCAAGAGGGAACACAAGGAAAGTCAGAGCTGGGTTTCTGGCCCGTTGACTCTGTCTCAGGTACACAGAAGGGGACTAAAAATACTCCCATCTGCTGCTCCCAGTCAAGAGACCCCCTTCCTCCGAGGGGCTGCAGAAGGCCGAGGGGGTACAGGAAGGCCTGGGCCAGAGGGGGCAGCCTTAGTGGCCTCCCTGGCCCTACAATGGAGTGTTTGCAAAGAGGCCTTCTGGGCATGAGGGCATGTACTGGGGCCAACTGGAACAAGACCCTCTCTACAAGACTCAGTTCCCTCATCTGGAATATAAGGATGCCGGATGCGATTTCCAAGGTCTGCCTGTGGTTCAAATATTATGGTTCTATTACTAATCTCACCTCTGTCCCTCCACTCTCTGCCCCATGCTCAGGCCCCAGACCTCAGCCTTTCATCTAGAAGACTTGGGTTTGGATTCCAGTGAGACCTCTGTAACCTCTCCTGGCCTGTTTCCCCACTATATCAAGGTAGATAAATGTTCTAAAATCATTAGGTTATGGTGAACATTAAGTGCCTAGCGTGGGGCCGGGCATACTGTAAGTGCTTAATGCGTGTTAGTGTGGTTCCCCTTCCCTAGGGCATTCATTTCCTTTACTGGGCCCTGACTCCCTGTCTTGGCCAGGGAAGTGTCAACTTCCCCATTGACACCCTGCCCTCTCCCAGTGCTTCTCCAGGCCTGCACTCCTCCCAGGCACCCCTGCACTCATGCCAGGTCCTCACCACCCTTTCCAGGCGCTCTTGCCAGGCCCAGGACCCCGCAGGCTGCAGGCTGGCTGATTCTGCCTCCCCTAGTTTCTTGCTGGAGGTGGGGGAGTGGGCCCTCCGGCCACCTGGGCCCCTGACCCCTGAGCTTCTTTCTTGGGAGCCAAGAGTGTATGAGGCCTGGGCACACGGCAGGAAGGTCACTAAGGCTGGTTCATGGTAGCTTGGGGTGGGGGGAGACAAAGAACCTGAAACGGAAAAAACAGCCCCGACTTCATCTCCTGGCTGTGGAGCGGAAGCCAGCCGCAGTGTTCACGGCCGCGGGTCCTCAGCCCGGGAGGTCACTCCCTTCCCTCCTGCCAGGGGGTCCTGGGCTGGCTTGGGGCCGCCCCCGGGCGCCCAGGACAGCGCTGCCTTCAGTGGTTCTGTCCCGGGTGACAGCGACTACCGACTAGACTACGGCCAGCTAGGCCCGGGAGCACCGGGGGAGGGAGGCAGGAGGGCCGCCGTGGGTGCGGGTCTGGCGCCGGGCTCAGCCCCTGGGGGCGGCGGGGGCGGGGACGGGGTGCGTCTGTCGCGGGCACCTGTGCGCGTGGGCGGCTGCGTACTCGCCAGCGCTTTGTTCGTGACTGGCCTTTTAAGGGCTGGCTCACCCGTCTTGTCTGGCTCTTCCTCCCTGTTTCCTTTCCTTCCTCTCTCCCACCACAGCCAGCTCCCCACCTTTCCCGCGGGGGGCCCCCTCCAGCCTGTCCGGGGCCTCCCCCTCCTCCCCAGATCTCGTTGCTCTGCCCGGTGAGGCTCCGGGCTGCCAGCAGGGGGCGCCTGCCTGCGATCAGGCGGCGGCCGCGGTGCGGGGCGCGGCCTGGTGGACCCTGACCCCGCGGGGCTCTGGGGATGGGAACCGGGGATGGGAACCGCTTCGTCAGCCCCGCGGCGGGGGCGGGAGGGAGGGACCGCAGAGCTGGCTCTGGGACCCGGACTTGGGGCTCCCGACTGCATTCTCTCCCTCAAACATTTCCTACCTGGGACTGGCATTTAATTACTTTTACGGAGATGGGAGATGTACTCATTAGAATATCAGAAAATCAGGGTTGAAAGGCTTTGCAGAGATCATCGAGTACTTGGTCAGCACTTAACATTTTGCCGAAAGCTGAGACCTGGGGGAGCCCAGTGACTTAAGGCGGGAGCTGAAATGAACTCTCAGGGGTCTAGATGCCCCGGCCAGCTTCCTCTCTGTTGTACCACTACTGTTCCTTCTCGCTGTGACCCCCTTCCTAATTTCCCAGCCCCCAGGCTCCCCAAAACACAACGATTTTTCCTTATACAGTTTCCAACTGGCTTGTTTCTGGAATTTTCTCCCTGACAGACTCTGCGCATGCCCACTTGAATGAACGCACACACACACACGCACACGCACACACGCACTTTCCAGCCTTGCCCGGCTGCCTCGGAATGCGGCACTTGTCGTGAGTCAGGGAGGGTCAGCTGCTCTCTCAGTACCGCCCATGCAGCCCAACTACTCCTGGCCCAGGCCCAGGGTCACCGGCAGGGCCAGGTGGCTGTGTCTTTCCAGGGTGGCCCTGGTGGGACAGAACGTGACCCTAGCGCCTCTCAGGTCCTGGGGGCAGGGGAGGCCAGGGTGCTTCTAACACTCGGCTCATAGTCTGAGGCTATACTCAGCCAGGGGCCACCCAACTTCTCTTCAAAATGAACTCAAACCTCCATGAGGGGGCCCTGCGCTCAGGATGAGCAAAGAGGGGCTTTGTGCTGGCCCTAATCCGGTCCTTCACCAGCTGCATAATCTTGGGTAAGTAACTGAACCTTTCTGAAGCTTCAGTCTCCCCATCTGAAAAATGGGGATAATTTTCATGCCTGTAATCGCAGCGCTTTGGGGAAGCCAAGGCGGGCAGATCACCTGAGGTCAGGAGTCCGAGACCAACCTGGCCAACATGGTGAAACCCCGGCCTTACTCAAAATACAAAAATTAGCCAGTTGTGGTGGTGCGTGCCTTTAGTCCCAGCTACTCATAGAGGCTGAGAGAATCGCCTGAACCTGGGAAGGAGAGGTTGCAGATTGTGCCACCGCACTCCAGCCTCGGTGACAGAGTGAGTGAAACTCTGTCTCAATTAAAAAAAAAAAAAGGCCAGGCGCGGTGGCTCAAGCCTGTAATCCCAGCACTTTGGGAGGCCGAGGCGGGTGGATCACGAGGTCAAGAGATCGAGACCATCCTGGTCAACACGGTGAAACCCCATCTCTACTAAAAATACAAAAAATTAGCTGGGCATGGTGGCGCGTGCCTATAATCCCAGCTACTCAGGAGGCTGAGGCAGGAGAATTGCCTGAACTCAGGAGGCGGAGGTTGCGGTGAGCCGAGATCGCGCCATTGCACTCCAGCCTGGGTAACAAGAGCGAAACTCCGTCTCAAAAAAAAAAAAAGTATTTTGGCCGGAAGCAGCGGCTCACACCTGTAATCCCAGCACTTTGGGAGGCCGAGGTGGGCAGATCACTTGAGGTCAGGAGTTTGAGACCAGCCTGGGCAACACGGTGAAACCTGTCTCTACTGAAAATACAAAAAAATTAGCTGGGTGTGGCGGCACATGCCTGTGATCCCAGCTACTTGGCAGGCTGAAGCAGGAGAGTCACTTGAACCCAGGAGGCAGAGGTTGTGGTGAGCCAAGATCATGCCACTGCACTTCAGCCTGGGCAACGAGTTCGAAACTCTGTCTCCAAAAAAAAAAAAAAAATCTTCCTCCCGTGATCACACATGGGGTATAATACACAGCAGAGCTTCTGAAACTTCCATATGCATGGGAAGTATGAGGACCTGTTTAAAATGCAGATTCTGATCCAGTAGGTCTTTGGCGGAGCCTGGGATTCTGCATTTCTAAATTCCTGGGTGCTGCCAGCGCTGCTGGTCTACGGACCACTGTGAGTAGCAAGGACAGAAAATGCCAATACAGTCAACACTCAGCAAGGGAAAGCCACATTGCCACTGTCACCATCATCCTCATTATGGCATGAATGCTGGCGGGGGCAGGGGCACTCCCAAGACAAGCGTGGACCTGTGGGGTGCTGGCTCCTGTCCCTGTCACTCATCTCATTTCCCCTCTTCCTTTCTCCTGGCTGTACTTTCAGCACATGCTCAGGCTACAAGAAACGCTGACTTCAAAAGTCTGTTTTTGCAATACAGGAGCTAATGAAAGGGGTTCCAGGAGAACGTCCCCTGAAAAGAGACCTGGAATAAGGGGAACTAAAAGGAGACCACGGCCGAGCCACATCCTCTCCAGGGCCTTAGTCTCCTTCCTCATCTCAATCAACCAACTAAGTATTTGTTTTATGTCAGCTGACTGCTGGAACCATGACCCAGCCTCTACACCCTGATTAAGCCACTGCCGGCTGCACACTGGTGGAGCCTCTGGTAGGCCACTGCCCGCCCCGCTAGGTAACATCTCACCAATTTTAGCATCCAGACAGTGCACAGTAGCCTTCAGGGATCCTACCAGCTCTGATCCCTGCCAGAATCTATACTTCCTGGATAGCTGGAGCCACACAGGAGCGCACCAAGGCCAACAGTTTTTTATTTATTTTTTTTTTTGAGATGAAGTCTTGCTGTATTGCCCAGGCTGGAGTGCAGTGGTGCAATCTTGGCATACTGCAACCTCTACCTCCCAGGTTTAAGTGATTCTCCTGTCTCAGACCCCCGAGTAGCTGGGACTACAGGCATGTGCCACCATGTAGCCATGCTCGGCTAATTTTTTTTTGTATTTTTTAGTACGGATGAGGGTTCATCTTGTTGGCCTGGCTGGTCTCAAACTCCTGACCTCAAGTGATCCGCCTGCCTGGGCCTCCCAAAGTGCTGGGATTATGGGCATGAGCCACTGCACCAGGCCCCAAGGCCAAATTTTGGAGGTGAAGGAGACTTAAAGTGTTTCTGCCCACCATACTCAGCACTAAGATTCCAAGGAAGGTCCACCTGTCTGAAAGTCTCAGACCCAGGAATCATCCTTGACAGCATTTCTCCCTCACCTCTCATGTCCCTGGCATTTGTCCCCTCCCTTCATCTCTGCTGCCATCCTGCTCATCAGCTCCTCTGATGCCATCCTCCTTCCCAGCTCTTCCATTCCATCCCAGGATCCAGGTGACAGAGTGAACTTTTCAAATCGCAGAGCTGATTATGTCACACACACACACCATCCCCCGCCCTCCCCCCACAGTCCCCCAGCTGCCTGGAAGGCCTAGCCTGTCTGCCCTAGCACTTTCCACACCCTTCTCCCTTGCTCTCTCCACTCTAGCCTTGTGACATCTGTCAGTTCCCTGGGTGCCGTGCTCCCTCCCACCTGGGAGCCTTCTTCCCTGTTCTCACTCTCTCCCTCTACCCTCCCCAGTGGACTCCTTCGCCCTTCAGCTCGAGCTGACCAGCCCAGGTCAGCTCAAGTTCTTCGTTGCAGTTTCCCTGGCCATGCTTCGCTTCCTGTAGGGCACTTATCTTCATGTGGAATCCCATCTCTTTAAGCGTGGATTTCTCATTACTGTCTGTCTTTCCAGCTGACTGTGAGGTCCTTGAAGGCAGGAACTGGGTTTTTGTTCATGACAATTTCCCCAGTCCCTGGTATGGATCCTAGCACACCCTGAATTGGTATGTTTTGTTTGTTTTGTGAGATGGAGTCTTGCTTTGTTGCCCAGGCTGGAGTGCCTTAGCGCAATTTTGGCTCACTGCAACCTCCACCTCCTGGGTTCAAGCAATTCTCCTACCTCAGCCTCCCAAGTAGCTGGAACTACAGGCACATGCTACCACACCCAGCTAATTTTTTTTATTTTTTAGTAGAGACACAGTTTCACGGTGTTAGCCAGGATGGTGTCAATCTCCCGACCTTGTGATCCACCTGTCTCAGCCTCCCAAAGTGCTGGGATTACAGGCATGAGCCATAGCGCCCGGCCCTTGAATGGGTGTTTTAAGAAACACCTGTTGACTGACAGAAGCAGGAGCCCCTGAGAACAACTAGAAATGGAGGCAGGGAAATCCCAAAGTGAAAACAAACCCTCAAGGCCAGAGAACAGCTTTGGGGCTATGGCTCCATGCTGCAGGGCAGGAAAGAATGCCCTGACCCTGGGTAGCAGCTCGGCATGAGTCGTGCTGGGGTCCTGGGAATCAAAGTCAACTGCAGTCAGCCCATGGGGAGGACTGCATGAGGGCAGGGCTGGCATTGTTTTTTTTTTTTTTTTTTTGAGACGGAGTTTCGCTCTTGTTACCCAGGCTGGAGTGCAATGGCGCGATCTCGGCTCACCGCAACCTCCGCCTCCTGGGTTCAGGCAATTCTCCTGCCTCAGCCTCCCGAGTAGCTGGGATTACAGGCACGCACCACCGTGCCCAGCTAATTTTTTGTATTTTTAGTAGAGACGGGGTTTCACCATGTTGACCAGGATGGTCTCGATCTCTCGACCTTGTGATCCACCCGCCTCGGCCTCCCAAAGTGCTGGGATTACAGGCTTGAGCCACCGCGCCCGGCCCCATGGGCTGGCATTGTTGATGGGAAGGACGGTGTGTTCTCCCTTTCCTCATTTGTTTCACTCCACGCAGGCCCTTCCCACTCCCAGGAAGTCTCAAAATGCATACAAGAGGCCCCGACAGTTCACGACCCATCTCCACACCAAGCCCCATTCCAGGACAGCTGAAAATAGCAGAAAGACACAAGACCAGGATTGAATGAGCCCTGCATCTGCCACTTAAGGATGGGGCTCCATGAGCAAGTCACATCATCTCTTTAAGCCTTAATCTTTTTCGCCCGAAAATGAGAGTAATTGGCTGAGCTCGGCGGCTCATGCCTGTAATCCCAGCACTTTGGGAGGCTGAGGAGGGCAGATCACGACGTCAAGAGTTCAAGACCAGCCTGGCCAAGATGGTGAAACCCCGCCTTTACTAAAAATACAAAAAATTAGTCGGCCGTGGTGGCGGGCGCCTGTAATCCCAGCTACTCGGGGACGCTGAGGCAGAGAATTGCTTGAACTAGGGAGGCCGAGGTTGCAGTGAGCCAAGATTACACCACTGCACTCCAGCCTGGGCGAGAGTGAGACTCGGTCTCAAAAAAACAAAAAAACAAAAAAAAAAAAAAAAAAAAAAAGAAAGAAAAGAAAATGAGGATCATCATATCTCTTGAATAAGATTGTTTAGAGGAGTAAATAAAACAATGAATACAGATGGCCTCTGCAGTGCTCTGCACATAGTGGGAGCATCACACATATTTGTTGAATATAAATGAATAAAAGCTTCTTAGTAAGTTTGGAAATTTGTATTCTGGAAATGTTCTCTATCCTGCATGAGTATTAGGTTGGATCCATGCAAAATAAGTTATGCCAATTAATCAATTTACTCATTCCATCATACACGCTTGGAAGGAAGACTTTTTGAAATTAAAATGCACATATGCAAAACAACCTGGCAGGGCCCTTGGAGGATCAAATGTGATAATGTATGAGAAAGCGCTCTGTAAACTGCGAAGCCCTGGACAAATGCTAGTTGTCGTCATTACTAGCATGTTTACAGCTCGGCTGGCCCTGAAATTGCTGGCTTAACCTGAAAGACAAAAGTGGGCAACTTTCCAGGCTTCTAGGGTTAGGCCAAAAAGTCCCCTGATGAAGGCGCCCGGGCTGGGCAGTGTGCAGAATACCCTCTCCCAGCCCTCTCCCCATGCCACTGTCACAACCAAATTTCCAGTGGAGTCAGCCCAACGAGGGTGGGCTCAGGACCTCTGCACTCAGAGAGGCAAACAGGGTATCTGCTGCCCTTGAGTACCCAGGCCAGGGGCTACAGCAGTCCCCAGGAGCTTCAGGGCACGTGGGAGAGTAAGCAGGCCAGGTAGAGCCGCAGAAAACTAAGGCCCACAACCAGCCACAGAAGGCGGCGAAGGGACAGCCATTATCCCAGTCTAGCAATCACTGGCGTCATGCAAGCCCACTGTTGCCAGATCTAGCTTTTTTTTTTTTTTTTCCATGAGAAGCCAAAACTCCAGATTTTTATGTGAAATTTTTTGATTTTTAAATACTGGCAACTAATTTTTTTAAATGTTTAAAACACTCTATGAGCCAAAAAAAAAAAAAAAAAAAAAAAAAAAAAAACGTGCAGGCTTCATCCAGCCAGTAGCATCCAGGCCATATCCTTGCAAGCAGACCTTTAGCCACAACCCAGTCCATCCCTCCTGGCATCTGCTGGAGACCCAAGTCCCTGACTCTAGAGGGCATGCTGGTGAGCCCAGAAGAGGCTGCCCCTTGTGCTGAGGACTCACCCTCTTCTGCAGCAGCTCCTCGGCCCTCCTTGGGGGTGCAGCAGCCATTCTCCACTGCTCTTGACGCTTCTGACGGGGTCTCAGCTGCACCCTCTCCCTCTGCTGGGGACCCGCCCTTCTGCCCCCCAGCAGGGCTCCCCTCCTCTGGCTGGGGCTCACTCCGCTTCTCCAAGTCCCCGTTGGGTAACAGCTCTGAGGGGCCTGAGTCCTGGGCCATGGATGGGGACTTGGAGGTCACCGCAGGGTCCTTTGGCGTGTCACTGCTTTCCACCTGCAAATATAAGAAAGATACACAAGAGGAGGGTTAGATCAGTGGGCTTAGCCTGTTTTGGATCATTGACTGGTCTGAAATTCTAGAGAAAGTTATGTACTTTCTGTACAGAAATTGTGTTTCATATATACCTTCATGCAACCAGATATATTCACAATTTTGCTTTCAACGTCAAAGGGTCCACGGGCTTGACCCCTTGAAATCATGGGTCTGTGGACTCCAGCTTAAGAAACAGGAAAGGGGCCGGGCGTGGTGGCTCAAGCTTGTAATCCCAGCACTTTGGGAGGCCGAGGAGGGTGGATCACAAGGTCAAGAGATCGAGACCATCCTGGTCAACATGGTGAAACCCCGTCTCTACTAAAAATACAAAAAATTAGCTGGGCATGGTGGCGCGTGCCTGTAATCCCAGCTACTCAGGAGACTGAGGCAGGAGAATTGCCTGAACCCAGGAGGCGGAGGTTGCGGTGAGCCGAGATCGCGCCATTGCACTCCAGCCTGGGTAACAAGAGCGAAACTCCGTCTCAAAAAAAAAAAAATAAATAAAATAAACAGGAAAGGAACCCAAGGAGGTTTGCCAGGCTGGGTGCACTTCTCGAGGGATCTGCTCCCCCACCTCACCGCAACTCACTGAGGTGACATAGGATGCCCAAGCTTTCTCTGCAGCCCCCGTTAAAAAAGAAATGCTCCTTGGGCCGCTCATAATTCCAATCAGAATCCCACCTTCCACCCCCGAGAAGATTCCAGTGCCACCAGATCAAGTCTGGGGCTCATGCTGGTCTGACCTCTATAGTCAGTCCCCTCCCAGCTTTTGTCTTGGTCTCTTGAGGCATGAGAGTTAAAGGAGGCCCCCCAGAAAAGCATTCTGTGAGCTCGTAATCTAGCACAGCCTTCTCCGCTGGCTTGGGCTACCCCAGATTCTTCCAGGCACTCAGACCCAGAAGAGCCAAGGCTCTTGCAAGCAATTTTCAGGCCCTGCAGCAACCCTTCATGAGCACTGGGGTCCCTCATTCTCCCTTCAAGGAAAATGCCTTTCTTTATCCCCTAGAGTCTAAGAACTGACTTGCCAAGGTTCCGGGTAATAAAAATCAAATCAAGAATAATGCTGGTTGTCTGTGTGTATCACTGCACAGGGGACAAAGCTCCTCACTTATTACCTCCTCAGAGTTTCTTAGCCTTCCTGAGAAGCAGGTGAGGAACCTGAGGCTCTCTGGAATGTTGTGATTTGCTCCAGGTCACAGGCTTTGCATGGACAAAGCAAGAGCAGGAGAGCCGGGTGCCTGCTGCGTGCTCTGCGTGTGTATACATTCAGTCCTCAGCCATCCAGAGGCAAGTGGGCCAGGACACCTCAAGAAGAATGGAGGTGTCCAGTGTGGGACAGGAACAGGCAGAGGTCCCAACAGCTCAGCGCTCTGCCACACCCACGGGCACCAGGCTGCACTCAGCAACTCTGACACACTGGCTCCGTGTAGAGAACACCCAGTAAAACGGCAGGGACAGCGTCAGTTCAGCAAGCCTCAGATAAGGCACTGCTCTCAAGCACCTCGGTTTCCCTGCATGTCAGTGGAGATGACTGGTCTAGACCACTGGAGCTTTTGTCTTTGTCTTTGTTTTCCTACTTATAAAAATCAGATACATGTATTATAAAAAATCAAACTATCGCTGGGCGGGGTGGCTCATGCCTGTAATCCTAGCACTTTGGGAGGCTGAGGCAGCTGGATTACCCGAGGTCAGGAGTTCGAGACCAGCCTGGCCAACATGGGGAAACCCCATCTCTACTAAAAATACAAAAATTAGCCGGGCGTGATGGCACATGCTTGTAATCCCAGCCACTTGAGAGGCTAAGGCAGGAGAATCACTTGAACCCAGAAGGTGAAGGTTGCAGTGAGCTGAGAAAGCGCCACTGCATTCCAGGCTTGGCGACAAAGGGAGACTCCGTCTCAGAAAAAAAAAAAAAAATCAAACTATACAAAAAAATGAATAATGCTGAAAGGTTAAAGCTCCTATTTCAGCTCCCTATCCCCAAAATCTCTCCCCTAAGGTACCCATTATTAACAGTTCAGTGAGTATCCTTTCCACACTTTTTCCTATGCATCAACAATCATGTGTAAGTTACATGTTTACACATATGTATTCATATACACATCCAGATCCAGAAATGTTTTTTTCCAAAAGGGTATCATACTAGTCGTAATGTTCTACAACTTGCTTTTTCACTTAACAAGCAGAGTGGGCATCCCTCCATCCCAGTGCAGATGGATCTGGATGCTCCACAATATATGCATGCCGTTCCCTGATGGTGGGCATTTGGGCTGATTTGCTTTTTGCTACAGTGAACACCCTTGCACTTACAGCCCTGTACACCTGCGTGTTTCCAGAGCATGGAGTTCCGGAAGGGGTTTGGCCAGGTGAAAGGGCCTTTCCAGCTAAATGTGCAGAGATCCTGCCAAGTTCCCTCCAGGGTTTCCCATACTCAAGTGCACAGCCGGAGAGAGTACGGAGTCCCCAGTCCTGCACAGCCCTATTTCGAAGGCTGCTTTTGCTCTAACGGTCTCGGACTTGAACTCTGAACCCACTGTTATTTGATGAGGAACACCCAGAGGTGGCAATTAGGGACACGGGCCTTGGGAAAGCAAAAACAGAAACAAAACCAAAGTCTTCTCAGGTAGGCTTTCCTCCCTGGATGGGGACCCGGGCCCATGGAGCAGCCGGAGAGGGAGCAGAAGGAAGTGCAGGGCCTGCCAAGCTGCTTTCCTGCTGTGGGGGCGACTGGGCAGGCCCGCTTCCAGGAGGGAAGCTCCCACAGAACGCTGCATGTGTGTACTCCTCAGCAGTTGGAGGCAGGGGGCTTCAACCAGAGGAAGAGGAGGTGACTGGTGAAAGCAAGAAGCCCTCTGCTGCGCCTGGGGGCCTGGGCTGATGCCAGCAGAGCCGGGAAGGCCAAATCCAGGAAGGAAAGTGGAACGGCAGACCCCTGCTGATCGCCTCTGCCTCTGTCCTGTGTGTCAGGACCCTCCCCAGGACTCAGAATGTCTCTCCTCCCTCCCTGCTTAAGCAAAGAGGGCACTTCTAGCCCAGAAGGGTCCTCCCTGGTGTAAGCCCTGTCTGTCAGCCTGCAAGGCTCAGACATGAGCCCCTGTAGCCTGAAGAGTGGAGTATACCCCTGCACTGACAGCCACCGCTAGGGGTCCAACTGTGCCCCAAAGCCCCAAACATGGCACTACCATGGAGGTGTGCATGGGGTCCTGCCTGGCCAACTTGAGCTAAGAAGCTTAGGTCAGAGCCAGACGTTTTCATGGCTGGGTCTTCCTTTCTTCTCACCATTTGCTGCCCCACGGACACCTCAGATTGGGGCAGGATCTGAGCCCCACAAAGCTGCTCAAGGCAACTCCACTGTCACTCACTTCCTGCCTGGGACCACATGGCCTCCTCTCATGCTGGGACTCACTTCCTGTTGACTGCTGGCTCCATAGCGTAGAGACCCATTAGGGCTAGCTCCCAGGCCCAACACAGCCCCAGGCTCCCGACCAACCCAGTCATTCACGCACATGAGGAAGCCCTGCCCACCAAATCCAGTCTGCAATAGCACCAGAGGCGCCATGCTCCCAGAGATGCCCCTAAAACCAGGTGGGAGCTGGGCACGCTGGGCAGATGAAGGGGAAGCGAGGCACGCTGTACATTTTCAGCCCCAGGTTAGCTCACTAGCTGAAATCCCCACTCCCGAATCTGGTCCACACGGTCCTCTGCCCAACTACCCCATCTTCCTCACCTGCCCTTTCAAGTTCTGGATGAGCCGATTCAGCGGGGCAATGACTTCTGCCATGGTCAACCCTTGATTCATCCTACCCATCAGAACTCCCTCAAGCAGCCAGGCACAGTGGCTCACACCTGTAATCCCAGCACTTTGGGAGGGCAAGGAGGGTGGATCATGAGGTCAGGACATCAAGACCATTCTGGCTAACATGGTGAAACCCTGTCTCTACTAAAATACAAAAAATTAGCTGGGCATCATTGTGGCACGTGCCTATATTCCCAGCTACTTGGGAGGCTGAGGCGGGGGAATTGCTTGAACCTGGGCGGCAGAGATTACAGTGAGCCGAGATCATGCCTTATTCCGGCTGGCCGAGAGACTCCATCTCAAAAATAAAATAGGCCGGGCGCGGTGGCTCAAGCCTGTAATCCCAGCACTTTGGGAGGCCGAGGCGGGTGGATCACGAGGTCAAGAGATCGAGACCATCCTGGTCAACATGGTGAGACCCCGTCTCTACTAAAAACACAAAAAATTAGCTGGGCATGGTGGCACGTGCCTGTAATCCCAGCTACTCAGGAGGCTGAGGCAGAAGAATTGCCTGAACCCAGGAGGCGGAGGTTGCGGTGAGCCGAGATCGCGCCATTGCACTCCAGCCTGGGTAACAAGAGCGAAACTCCGTCTCAAAAAAACAATAAAAATAATAAATAAATAAATAAATAAATAACCTCCCTCAAGCTAAGTGCGGACCTTCACTGAGGCTCGCTGCTCAGGGTAACCAGCAGGACAAAACCATCCAGAGGAAGGAACAAGGTCCTAGTCAAATAGCCTGAAGCAACTCTCCAAGTCTCTGGGGAAGAGCTGGGTGCTCACTGAAGGAGCCATCCCTGGTAAGAAGGGCAAGAACCACAGACTGGAAGCCCAGGAGGGAGGGGTACTCCAGCCAGGCCTGGCCTCTTCTGCCCCCAGCTCCATGCCCTCCTCCTAGCCACTCCCCTCCCCTCCTTTTCCTGTCTCTACAGCTTGTTGACTCCTGGAGGGCAGGGACTTTGCCAGACTTAGCACGGAGTGGGACACCTGGCAGGTGCTGAGCCAATATTCACAATTGATGAGGGAATGGCAAAGACTAGGCTAAAAGTGAGAACCTCCTGCGCACAAGCTAGAGGCAGTTTCGGCTTTGCTGCCATGTCTGTTAAACAGTCTGCCTTTGTTTGCTTTTATTTTGACAGTCGTCTTGAAAGGAGACACAGCACAC